TTGGCGCGATGTCTAAAAGTATATTTTGAAGTTATACTTCTTTTGGCGCGTTAGAGAAAAATGATGAGAGTAAATTTTTACGATGTGCGCACACCGTCACGAAAAACCGACACCCTGTAGTTAGCTAGACATCTACGTATATTTGCATGAGAACTGACAACTGTATTCACGATACTTAAATAAACTTTAACTAGATAGTGCGTTCTAATAAAACTTTCAATGTATTGAATACCTTTTTTCTATTGTTAATGTCGTTTTATAAATGTAGAATAAGGCGAAGGTAAAAAAGAATTAAAAAGATTTTATCTTGTTACACCAAAGAAGTATAACTTCTAAAGAAGTTATATGTACTTACACACACACTTTTTCCCCTTCTTATAGCCAGTCTTGCAATGCCTTCAAAACATAACAATTCATTTATTATAGTGGATATAACGGTTATTGTCAGGTTTAAGTATCCTATTTTTAAACTGTTTGAAATAATTAAAACTTAAAGAATGTACGTATATTTTGTAAACATGCCTTGAATGGTTCAGATTTATTAGGTTTTAGACACATGTAACGCCATCTGTGAGCCAAAAGAAAAAGCTAATTATAAAATGATATAAGTGACATCTGTTGCCAAGAAGCGTAGATTTGAAATTCGGTAAGTTTTATAACTCGTACAGTAGATAATTTATTTATTTTTTATTATTATTAAGTCAGTACTATAGGCCTATTTTCTTCAATTTATTTCATAATCCATAAATGCATTTATTTTTTTTAATTTGAGATACTGGTAAGCGACCGAGGTTTACTTGATATTATGATAACCGCCGCCGTCTATGGACATCTGTAATCCCTAGAGTTTCAGATGTACAATTTTCGAACTTGTTTAATATCGCATATAAATATTTAATTTAACTATGGCGGCCAGCTCAATGCCATATGAAAGGCTGCGCAGATGCTGCAGACACAGCAGAGAAATAGATTGCAAATTATAAGGTTCAATAAAATTTTATTAATGCAAGTTTGATGTAAGAAATATTGTAAATTTTTAATAAAATTAAATTGCCTATTTTTTGATATGGACATTTACTACACCCGAGGGTTGCAGATGCGTTGACAACCTTTTGAAGATATCTGTGTATAACCTAATCTATGGTTATCTATCTACTTTTAAGCCTTTTACTTCCATACTTCCATAGCTTTTTTTAGTAATTAAATATAACCTATACGATATATCGATATTTTAGAAGGATATATCGCAATATATCGATACAACTTTTCGATATATCATATGGGAAAAATCATCGATATATTTTTCACATGACATCCTTAACTACTATGGGTCGGAGTTCGGAAAAAAAGCCACTGACATGAGAAGAACCGGTGAAAGATGCGGGAAAATATGTCAGCGTCGCGACCGACTCTATTTTAAAATATGAAAATAACACTAGCGTACGATTTTACATACCTATTGAACAAGTGTGTTCTAAGAAGCGAAGAGAACATTCAAAATTTTTATTTCTTTGAACAAATATCTTAGTGATTCTTTGGGAGTCCAAATTATAAACAGCTTGAATGTCTCTTTTTTGGAGGATGAAGATTTTAACTTTTAAGTTTGGTAACTCCTTGTAACGCATAAAACCTTAATGCAAACTCTGTTCTCAATTGAAATGTAGGAATCTTCACTGCTATGCCACGATAAGGTTATGGTAAATGTTGTGGCCATAGAGTAAATGTTTTTTTTTAATTTTCTTACACAACATATTTTAATACTCATCGAATATGAATTTCGAGTGCTACATCTTGTAGTCGAAATCATTCTTAAAAATTAAAACTCACACATCACTTTGGTAAGCGGCGTTTAATTACAAAATGATCATACAAAAAAAAAATTAAACATAAAAATATCACTAGAAATTCTTAAACGCAATATTTCATATTACAATACAATAAAAAAATGTGATGTATAAAAACTTAGCGAAAGTACACACGAATCTCTTGGTAACGAAATCCCTCAACACAATATGGAAATTCGATCACAGCCTGCTGGCATTGGGTATATCGTGAGTTAGGTGCGTGGTACACCCAATTAGGAGAGGTAAGTACATTAAGTAACCTTTAACAGTCTCGTTTGGTTGTGATAATTGACGGCCGTTTTAATGACGTACCCATTCCGTTAGCTGCTAAGTAGACTATCGTATGTTGAAAAATCAACAATTGTAGGTGAACAGTTGAAAAATATACATATATGTTTTAAAAAATGTATGTAAAAATTATAATTATCAGAAATATGTAATAATATATCTTGTAACTGCTATTGACTTTTTCAACATACGGTAGTGTAACTTAGGAGCCATCTATTTTATTCCGCTTTCATTTCAAAACAATCCGACATATGGTTGTAAAATAAATCAGAACCCTGCTTGAAAGACTAGTTTGGGGATATAGCTTCGTCAACTATAGTCCGGTCACATAAACACGCAATTTTAATATCTACAATTTATAGCAAAAATTTGTTTGAGAATTTTCATTTCTTCAAATTCTATGTCGCACTAAATGCCGGATTGTTTTAGAAGGACATGAACGTTCATATTTTTCAGTGTTCCCTAACTTACGTATCTAAATCGTATTCAACGTTGTCATCACCTATAACTTCCATTTTATGACCATTATCATATTCATTAGTATGTTTCACTCCTTCGTTCATACTTTGAAATATTACTTTGTATACATTTTTTAAGATGGCAACAATAGGAATCATTAAAAAAAAAAAAGAAAGTAATAGACAAATAATGGTAAAAATTTCGATTAAATTCTGGCCAAATTGGATATAGATAGTGGATATAACCAAAAATATTTCTAAGCATCTTAAAAAAATGATAATCAACTAACATATAGTTTACCTAAATGTGATTTTTTTAAAATATAAAACATAGATGTAGAATTGTTTTCCATGAATATTTTTAAACAATATTTATCAGCCAATATCAAAGATTCCGCAACAGTAACTACGTAGGATTTTCATATTGCAACCTCTGCAATAATTGGTCAAATTCCACAATTATACAATACTATAAAATAGAACCGCCAACCCAGCTGAGAGCTAATTATGCTTCCAAGCTATTGTTGCCAACTTAAAATTGAAACGTTTTCGAACAATCGAAGCAGAAAAATAAAATAAAACCTTAAAAGTAATCTCATTTCAACACCGCAATTAGTTTTGTTCAACAAACTTATATTACCCCCGCAATGCCGTGACTGATCACTCTTAGGAAAAACCAGGTAAGTGACATTACATATGTAATAGTATGCAAAATAAATACTTCAAAATGTAAACAGAAGCAGTTAATATTATATTGAAATGGCACTGCCTTGCTGAATTTCTTATCTATACCTCAATCAAATTGTAAAGAAAATGTAAAAATTAATATAATAAAATTAATTTATCTAAGAGGAATTAATCTTATCATTACTACAAATTATGATTGTACATATTTTGTACTTTCTACTTTGTATCATACAGGTGCACCAACTAACTGCATTATGTAGCACATGAGAGTAAAACAATCTAATCCTTGGGTGAATACATTAAGCAGTAAGGAATGTGTAGTGTCCATAGTGGAAGGTTTTGAAAATTACATTTTATAAGTTAATAACTTTTTTAAAGGTTATTTCCAAAAAAGGAAAAAATATTTATGAATTACTAGCTGATCCGGCAAATGTTGTTTTGCCATATAAATTATTTGTAGGGTAGAAAAAATGTTTGGGGTGGACCACCCTTAACATTTAGGGGGATGAAAAATAGATGCTGTCCGATTCTGCACCCTGGCCGATATGCACACAAAATTTCACGAAAATCAGTCGAGCCGTTTCGGAGGAGTTCAATTACAAACACCGTGACACGAGAATTTTATGTTTTAGATTATCGTGCCATTTAGAGATATTCATACAAGTACATTTACTTATAAAATCAATTTAAGTATTAAGAACCTCACACCCCAAGGAACACATTAAACTTTTATATAATAATCTCAACACTAGTATTATTTTCCCACTAGTATGATTAGCCCATAGATAATTATATTGGCTAATCTTACTAGCCATTAGAAAATACCCGGTTTTTCTTAAGAGCAACCATTTCAAAGTCCAAAACTGACATAATCAGCTCCCCCCACGACACAACCAAAACAAAGGCCTTACATTAATTCATAGGAATCAAGAGAGCACATCATTTTTATAACCTATATCACAATAAAAAATAATTTGGCATGTCATTGATAACTATGAATATAAATTATTTATTATTATTACGTAAGGCAACATTTTCGATGTGTTAAAAATTCTAAATAAGTTCCACTTAGAAATTCACTAGTCGTTTTCAAAACACAACACCAAAATTATTGCTTTGATTTTTACTTTCAACTTGCAAAAATATATATGTTTATTTCTTAAGTTTTTTTACACAAACATATATTTTAATTTATGTTAAACCGTAAAAAATATGTGAATTATAAATAAAATAATTAATTCAATGAAACAAGGAATATGGATAATTATTAGGAATAATCTATAATTACAGAATCGTTAATGGAAATTATGATTGTAGGAATAGAAATTATGATTGTCGAAAAACTCACATATACCTTAAAAACATTCTTTATCCATTTATAAAAATATTGTTTCTATCTATTTAATAATTGAATTATGATTTATTATTTTTTATTACTTTGTATAAACATACACAACATGAAACATCATATTTTATTAATATAAAAGTAAAATTGATTAAAAAGTAATTTCAATGTGGGTTTGAATTATGTCACATAGCATTCTATACTTATTGTCGGTACAATGACATGCCCATTTAGAACTTAGCCTACGCTTTGAACTATACTCACCTTAAACTACTGTACAGAATTGAGAAATCTTGGGGAACACGCGGGAGCGCACCATACCTTTATATTTACAACGGCGCACCACAGCAGCAAAACACAACACGAGAATAAACACTATGACTGTCCTTGCAACGGCTCTAACGTCTTATCGTGGCAGCTCTGCTCCTGGTATGCAGCATCGTCTTTCTTCACGCTGAGGTTCTGTATCTCGTCGCACTTTGTCGGCTCCACGGCCTGGCCGTGCTTGAACTGCAAGTGCTTCTCCAGGCTGGACTTCTGCACGCACCTGTACGGGCAGTGGGGGCACTTGACTGACTTCTGTCGGGGCCTGTACGGCCTCGCCGCGGCCGCGTCGGCCCTGTCACCAGCGCGCTCGTTCAGGTGGCGCTGTTTGTGCTTCGTTAAGTTGGTCTTCTGCACGCAACGGTAGCTGCACACGTCGCAGCCGAACGGCTTCTGGTCGGTGTGCAGGTACATATGCTTGACCAGGTTCGGCTTCTGCACGGTGCGGTAGTCGCAGTACGGGCACGCGAACGGCTTGTACCCGGTGTGGGTCCTCTCGTGCACGACCAGGTTGTTCTTCTGCGCGCAGCGGTAGTCGCAGTACTGGCAGCGGAACGGCTTCTCCTTCATGTGGACGAGGATGTGCTTGGCGACGTTGTTCTTCTGGCCGGACTTGTAGTCGCAGAAGGTGCACGAGTACGGCTTCTCGCCGGTGTGGGTGCGCTCGTGGATCTTCAGGATGGCCGGCGACTGGCAGCGGTACGCGCACTGGGTGCAGCCGAACTTGCCCAGCCTCTCCGCCTCGCCGGCCTCGCCCTCGGCGCAGCACTTCGCGTGCTGCTTCAGGCCCCGCTTCGACGGGAACACCTCGTTGCACTTGTAGCAGGCGTACTCCCCCTTGATGTTGGCGGAAACGTCCTCGGGCCGTAGCCTCGTTTCCGGCTCGTTCTCGCCCTTCTCCGAGCCGTTGGCGTAGGCGCTCGGGTCGTACTCGGCGTAGAACATCTTATTCTGGTCCGAGGGCTTCTGGTTCTCTTTGGGCTCCTCGCTTTTAGCCGTTTTCGCGCCGTCGGGGCACTCCTCGCGCGCCTTCTTGAACTCCTCGCCGGCGTAGGGGCTGCAGTTGTCGAACTGGCGGTGCACCACCAGGTTCTGGGGGTTGTCGCGGCCCACGCTGCCCGCGTAGCTCTGCGCGTAGCTCTGGGGGCGCGTGTAGAGGTGGTCGATGGAGTTTAGGGCGGAGATCGGTATGTGGTTATTGTATATCGTGTACACGTGGTCCTGGGGGAGGGTGTTCGCGTTGGCCGGCGGGTGCTCCGCATGCAGAGGTATGTGACCTGCAATGTGAAGCGTCCATAATGACTTTTTATCTTCGCTTATGACATAAGGTGTTACCAGGATATGGGCGCAATTAGATGGACGCGGGAAATTTAAGTACGATAAACTAAGTACTTTCTAGCACCGGATGTATTGATGGTACGATTCTTTTATAATAGGCAAAAGTCGAGCTTTAATGATTGCGCTCTCAAATAATATTTCAAACTTTATTACAAAAGCAAGACATTCGTACTAAAGTCTATATGGAATGATCAGTCATGATGATTAGATGGGCAGACTTTTTTCTGTCACATCTGTGTTGAAGAGACGTTTAATGACCACAAAGTAAACATAAACAAACATCGGAAGAGTTATTTGTTGGTCTTTTTAGGGTGGGAACTACACCACAGCGCAAATCCCTTCTCACCAAAGGAGACATGGTAACCACCGCAGGTATAAATTATAGGTCTCTATATTAATTATAGGATCTTTATTATTCCAATCAACATGAAAACTTAATAAGGTGAATGACAAAGACGCTCAACTCATTTTTTTTTTAAATCCTCCTCGGCTTATTTATTCCGCCCCATTTTAAACATGCAAATCGCAAATGTTGATCGCGCAATTCATTTTCCCATGAGAGGATCGATAATAAAATCTGAGGCGCCAAAGCGCATTAAAATACATCCCGCATCAACAGTATTAAAAAAGTTTATCAAACAAAAACTCGTTCCGTGAAAACTGATTGAACTATTTAATATTCGACCATATTTAAGGCGTCAAAAAAAAACAACGTTTGGACACACGAAGGTTAAAACAACTCAATTCTAGCTTAACGTCGCCCCCATTATCGTCTAAAATCCGATTTGCGTACGCAAACACATTAAATATAGTGGCAGATCTAAACATATAATATGTTGATATTTAAAACTGCATATATTGCACTCTACGGATTACCATAATGGTGAATACTAAATGTAAATCACCGATATATTCATCCGACGACATTTCTCCGTCGGCTTTCGTGTTTTTGTTTTCCATTATGCAATTTATTTAAATTTTTTGTCCACAAAAAGTCCTTTTAGTGTGACATAATAAAATAAATTAAAAAAAGTTAACCCCCCTCAAACATCTAAGTTTTAATTTGAGACTGTTTAAACATTTTTGCCGCGCTTTTGAGCTCTTTTTAAACACGTGTACTTAGACGTTTGCTTGCACATACGTAAAAAAACTCTTATAAAAATGGTTGAAAAAATAAATTGTTTTAATTATTAAACTTTTATATATTTTCAATAATCGTTTTTTTTTTCATGTAGCTGCAGGTGATAAATTTTTTGTAGGTTACTAAAGCAACTGCAACTGGTAAGGTGTTGTGGATAGGGTTGTCAACCATACTTTATAAAAACGTATCTTATTTTATTTTTGGTAAATATATAATTAAAATATATTCATAAAAATAAAGTATGTGAAAATACCTTATTTTCAATCTTTACTATATATATGCATAAAATATGCATAAAATAAAACACTCTTAAACCACAATAAAAAATTACTTGTTACTTTTTTATTTAAATTGGGAAAGGAAAGATAGCTTCTAAAAGGAGTATAGTGAAAAACTGTGCGAAGAGAGATGCTTAAAAAAATGTCTTCAAGAGAAAAAATATGTATGTAAAAAAATTTAAATAAATTTAAAAATTTTGAAAATTACTTTATTTTTCTTCTTTATACTCTCTTTTCTATTTTTTCTCTACTTGAAAAATGTGATAGTTGGCAACCCTAGTTGTGGCCAGGGATAATCACTAAACGTCAGGTGAACAGCTAACTCGTTGGCCAATTTTTCTAATTAAAAACTGGAGTGAGAGCCACGGGGCACGTAAAAAATGTACACGTGATGTTGAGATGATCCAAGAGCAAACATTCTCAGTGTAAAGATGACACTACGAATGCAGTCCCGTCTGGCGGGCAAGTGATCTTAGAAACCAGTCCAACTCTGACCTTTTAAGTGGACATTAAATAAATATTCATGGGGATGCTGCCGCTGTCTGGCACGGTGATATTATGCAGTTCGGCAAAATTTATAGTTCATTAAAATAATCGCTAATTGCAGCGTCATGCGGATGTATTTTCACAAGTGCAGATAACGGAATAGTGTTACAACTATATTCAATTTTATATATATTATAATATAGATGTCAATGATGTTTTAATAGACATGACGCATGTCCATACTGCGCAGCGTTTAAAATTTTTTCCGCTTTACATTGTATGACATATATACGTGAATGTGTCAGACGATATAGAACGTATGAAACGGAAAGAGATAGCAGTCTATGCATAGAAAATCAATCTAATTACACCAGTTGGCGTAATAAAGTAAGCCAACGCACAATGTACTTAAGTTTATTCTGTTTGTCATTGAACATATTTTAATTTTTTTATTCAATTTGTGTGCCTCAGTTTCGGTACGCTAGTGTCATATCTACCTCGTATTTGTATTTCATTGAACATAATGTTAAATTTATTCATTAAACGAATTTGGCGGGAAAATCCAATTCGTCCTTTGATTACTACGTACCTACCACTAATAAATGCTCTGTATATCAATTTTATTGTAACGGTGAATTATACGAACATTAAAATTTGTAATTTCGATTTTTCGAAATTGCAATAAATAAAAATAATCTCGTTCGCAAAAATATCATTTACCATTCATTGTATGATGCGTCTATGTCACACCGTTTCATGAAAAAAGAAAAGACTCCTATTCCATTTTAGTTTTGTTCAATTTATTTTTTTACCGGCAACTTACCGTTTAGCGCGTTGTTGTTCAACCCCTGATTGATGGTGTCGTAGAAGTAGCCGTCGTCCTCCTGTTCAGACTTGATGTGGAACGGCATCGGCAGCAAATGCTCTCCTTGCTCCACTTGCCTCGGCTCGTGGACGTTCAAGCCGAGCCTCTGCCCCATAGTCTGGTCCAGCCTCTGCGCGAGATTCTGCTCGAGCCTCTGCACCAGATTCTGTTCGAGCAGGTGTCCATCCTGGACGGTCTGGATCAGGGGGGTGCGTCTCGCCTCCTCCTGGTTTAGCATCACGTCGTGCTCGATTCCCGGCCGATTCAAGTGATGCGATAGGTCCATTTCGTGGGCCAGCTCGTGCGTCATACCGTCGCCGCGCCCTACGTTTTGCGGCAGCACGGCATCACCCATCCTGCCCAGGTCCGCGCTCATGTTCCTCCCCAGCTCCTGCTCGGTGAGGTTCTGCACGAGCGTCTGGGTCAAGCTGGACTGCAGCTCGAGGTCGTTGCTCAGCGCTCTCAGCTCGAGGCTGCGCGCGAGGTTGCCGTTTAGAAGCAGGTCCTCGTGGCGGCCGAGGTTTTGGGGCAGCTCACTGGCGAGGTTCTGCACGAGGTCCGCGTCGCTGGTGAGGTTCCGTGGTAAGTGTGCAGGCAGCTCGTTGAAGTTTAGGCTCCTGCTGAGGTGGTTGGACTTCAGCATGAGAGTGGACATCTGTCGGGGGGATAGTTGCAGCTGGAAATTGTGAGCGATAGTGCCAGCACTGAGCGATGACTGCACCGCTTGGTGTAGCTGCTCCATTGATATAGGCGTGTGGTAGTCAATGTCCATTTGGTGCGTCTTCTGAAACTGATATATAGGCAATTACAAAACCGTTGGATTGATCAGGCACTACATTGGTCTCCCTGAATAAATTTAAAGGGAATGAAATATTTAAATTAAAACAATGGTTAAAATGCAACTGGGCCTATTTTGTCACCACAGGGTATGCCTAATTATAACAGGTAATTTAAGGTCCTATTTTATTGTTTAGTACAAGAGAACAATATAACATACTTGCTTTTAATGCTATAGAAAAACTATTTTTTATGCTATAATTACTGTCAAGACTATTTTTAATATTTTATCGTTTTGGATAATTTTATATTTATATTATATCCAATTCCTTCTGTATTGATTAAGGAAGGAATAATAGATATATTATATATTGTTGTATTAAAATACAATTGTATTGTCTGTTGATTTACATAAAGAGTCACGGAAAATAAGGAGTCTCTTTCAAAGAGATTTGGAAACATTATAGTAATAGTAACAATTTAGTACATTTATCATTAAATGTAATAAACTTTTCAAAAAGTATTACTTTTCACTGCCTCTTTCATCTAAATGCTACTTTTTGGTCAGGGCATGGCATCAGAGCCAACTGAAGTAAGAAGATTTGGTTGTCAATGCACATCAATTTTTTAAAGATTTACATCATAGACTTATAGCCGCAGCTGGCGACAAGATGGCTAGTTCTTTTCCCACTCAAAGGTTAAACATAACTAGCCAGTGAATGCAGCTAGCATTCTTGGCACAATGCTGTGTGCCTTAATCACTAAAGGATTAAGGTCATAAAATAATATTTATTTTAGTTGAGATTTAACATAGTAAATATTGGAAGTAAATAAATTAATTTAATAAGTTGTAAATAAAAAAAGGAATATGAAATATAGTATGGAATTTAATATAGTGTATATTTATAAAATATGAATTGTATTAAGCAATGGAGCAATGGCCAAATATAAGTTTCCTTTTGGCATAGTTCTTTACTTCACTATATTTTATTATACTAAACCTTCTAGCAATTTACATATATAATAAAAAAATAACTACACTAACTGAGCAGATTGCGAAAAAATCAAAACTTTTTCCTTTATTTACAAAAAACTTTATTTTTAAGAACAACTTATTTGTAAGTTACAACTATTTCGTGTGTTACAACAAAACTAAATTATTTTTATTTTTATTCTAGACATCTCAAAGTATTGTTTCTTTTCATTCCTTTTATTATTTACATTATGATAGTTTTTTTAAAACTTGTGAAAATTCCTTTAGAAATTCAAAATTATATGATAAAAAACAATCTTTTTAGAAGATAAAAAATAAAACTACAACTGTTTATAGTCAAACTTTAAACAATACTTACACTATCTAAATAAACTTTGTAGCTATCCTCATCAAGCAGATTAGGATCTTCTCTTTTCACATAATCCATATCTCTATCTAAATTATTTTTTTTAACTCAGGACCTTATAAAAATCACGAAATGATAAAAAATGATCTGCTTCTAACCTCACTGCAATATTTACACTGTTAACTAATACAAAAGTAACACTTAAGAAGTAAGAAAAAAACTAAAGCTAGACGAGCGATTCTAAAATTACATGATTCACGACCAAAAGGTCAAGTTTAATCATAAAATTAATAAAACAAAAAGAACAGTTTTTTTGTTCGCTTGACGTTAAGATAGCGATGGAAAGGAAGCTGGTCATAGACAAAGAATAGAAGCCGTCAACGAACATCTGTTGGGTTAAAGGCATAGAGTTCAATAATATATAGTAGTAACGGTCATTACATATCATTTCAAGTTAATTAAAATGACGAAATCTAAAATTTTAAAGCTTTATCAGCCTTATTTATTGTCATGTATATGATTATTGAAATTGATTTTAATTGAAAAATATTTTAATTTTATACTATTTTTTGAGGAATCACTAAAGTATCTAAATAAAATAGCTCAATAAACGGTACGTGTAGCTGTAGTTAAATCAATGCCGAAAACATTTTTCTTGGGACATATAGTATGATAGTAGCTCGGTGGCTTTGACTGTTTCAGAAGAGGTCTGCTCGGTAGAGAACAAGAAAGCTGATACACGACAACGAAAATGCCCATAACATTTATTCTTCGGAAGTGTCTTATCTACTTCTCTAAGCCTACTGTGAAGAATAGTGATTTTAGGATCGCGATTTATCTCGGCGTTAGGCATGTATCATAAAGTGCTTGTTGCGTTGAGGAGAAATTTGTTGTGTAGCTTTAAATTTATATAAAAATGTGAACGAAGTCTTTTGCTGCCGCGAGAATCGAACCCACGTTTTACGGTATCGCGTCCTGATGCTTTAACCACTAAGCAGAAGGTGATTGTGAACACACATACAATTTAAATTTTTTTTCGTTTTACAACGATACTTGTCGTGAAATGCATTTATCAAAGTGAGTTAAACGTCTGAATACGTAATGAGGAAGGTGCAATTTCGAATTCTGGCCGTGAACATAGTTTTATCTAATCATTTTCACAATAAGAATATCAATATTTATTAATCGTAGTAGTATTTACTGTAATAATAACAAAGTAAATAATAATGACAAATATTTGATTAGGTTGAATGATATTTGAATAGTATAAAATATCATTGATTAGTTTTAAACACTAGTAAGTTAACTATATTATATAAATGCTGGTTTTAAACTGCTTGGTAAATAATAAATAATTTATCGCAATCCTTCACAAGAATAATTAGAATCGTTAGTTTCTGTCAAAGTCCAATTACATAACAGAAAGTTCTCGACTAAATAACTTTTCATTTTTCTTGGATTATCTATGAAAGTACTATGAAATATGACCTTCACAAAAAAATACTAATGTCAATTTTGATGTTTTCAAATTCAATATTTGTAAGATCCACGAAAACTCTCTCGAATATTTTTGATTTTCGCTTTGCAATTAAATTTTATAATCATAACCTTCCTTTCACAAATTATAGGTGAGATAACTATTGTTTTTTTTTATTCATTTATCAAATATTTATTTGGTGCCCTATAAACTTTGATGCCGGCATTTCTGCTTCATGGCGAGCATATAATATAATAGAGTATTATATGCTCGCCTATAATCGCATAAAATAGTTATAAGGAATTCATTATACTTCATTTAAATTAAGTTCTAAATGTTTTTTCAATTTGAGTACATTTTATGTACTGGTTCGCTATTTTAACTTAACTTGCCCATTAAAATTTGGCGAAGAGATGTGCTAACAATTTTATACATTGTTCCATAATATAATATGAATAAATCCTCTGTTATACAGATACCTGAATACCACTTCCGTTATGTCTAAGTCAGCACTAGTAATTTTAGCCCAAGGGGCGGAAGAAATGGAGACAGTCATCACTGTAGATATGCTGCGAAGAGGAGGTGTAAGCATTTTATCATTTGTCTTATTGGTTATTTTAAATTAATCTTTAAACCCATATTTCCATATTTATATGAATAAGTGTGTTTTAGATTTTTATTATGGCTATATTGTTGTGATGTAATTTTAAAATTTGTCTAGCTAAAATATGTTACATACATTCCTTAAAATATATTAAATAACTTCCAGGTTACTGTCACTTTGGCTGGTCTAGATAGCAACACCCCAGTCTTGTGTTCACGTCAGGTCACTCTTGTTCCTGACAAATCTTTAACAGATGCACTGGCTGAAAACCCCCAATATGATGCAGTATGTATAGAGTTTATTTTTATGGTTTTATATTATTGAACAAATTATAAGTATACATAATGTAGTTACTCAGTATTTTGTTAGCAAAAAGTTTCTTGTTACAATGGTTTTATGAATATGCTAGTTCTCTTATAAACATTTACATTTCGGTGACAGGTAATCCTTCCAGGTGGATTAGAGGGATCTGATCGCCTGTCAAAATCAAGTGTTGTTGGTACTCTTCTTAAAGAGCATGAGAAGAACGGAAAAATAGTGGCTGCAATATGTGCTGGTATTATAATTTTACAGCTCTTAAATTATGTTTAATGCTTTATATAAAAACAACGGTAAAGGTAAATAACTTTAACTCCGGCGTAATTCAAATCAAATAAATTTTAAACGATAGACATAAATCTCTAATGAATTAATCAAAAAGCAGAATTCGGCGGTCGCTTATAGTTTTCGAGAAAAAAAAATATTTAAAACTTGTTTTTTGTACTAAGAAATCCACCATTTTATTCGTTTGACTTCAAAAGTTCTTTACACAGTTCTGCCAACATGATAAATATAGGAAGCGGGCGCCATCATACACGTATCGATATTCCGATTTTTTAAATTTAATGAGTCACAGAACCGACACAGACCGAATCCGACTCGGATAGATTAGGTTAGAAGGTTCAGGCGGGAGCGGAGCTCCCGCCTTAAACTTCGATGTTAGGTTTTTTTTTATGACCACCAAGAAATACGAGCTGAATTGACATATTGACAACAAAAAATGACGGATTTCTATAGTAAAAATCACACTATTTCATTATTTACTTTTTCGAAAACTATAAGCGACCGCCTAATTCTGCTTGTTGATAAATTCATAAGTGAGTTTTCTCTATCGTTTAAAATTTATTTGATTTGAATTACGCCGGAGTTAAAGTTATTTACATTTACCAAAACAACTATTTTTATATTAGCTAGCTGCTCAGGTTTACTTTAAAAGTTTTCTCTTTTAATATATGCATATGGAATGGAAACTTCTCACAAAATTCTCTAACTTTCCATTATCAATTTATAGCATATTGAGTATTTAGCTTCATTGGTTAGATCGTCTGGGCACTTTACCCATAACTCTGGTAGCGCCAAAAAACTTTTTCATAATTTATCTATTTAACTCGCACTTCACTTATATAAGTTTATTTGATAGTTTATGTATCTAGTATTTATATTTAGGTTTCCATGTTTTATAGCACCTACAGCTTTCGTGGCTCACGGCGTCGCAAAAGGAAAGCGTTTGACATCCTATCCTTCAACTAAGGACAAAATAACTTCAGACTATGAATATGTTGAAGGCGAGAGAGTTGTAGTAGATGGCAACATTGTAACAAGCCGGGTGAGTTGCACTGCATAGACATATTCAAAATTTTTATTAATTGTAATTGTTTTCTGAATAGTTAGCCTATTATAGGTGTATTGTGAGGCTAACCTCACAAACTATAGCATTTATAATAATTTTTAATTACATACATCTATATGTATGTAATTAAAAATTATTATTATTATATGATGATTGATGGTAATGCAAAAGTCATACGTAGCTACTGCTGTATAGTGCTATAAACTATGTTAAGCAATTTTTTTTGTTCAGTTACTTGTTGCATTTTTAATCTATTTCTTTATTATTAACACAATATCTTTATAAATTATAGCCTCTGTGTTGTAGTAAACATAGTATTTACTTACTGGTGTAACATAATCTTTTGGCAACAGAAATTGTTTTAATGTCCCTAATCCGTTACAGTAATGTCTACTGTGGCAGGGCATTAAACAGCATCTGCTGTCACTGAATGGGCAGGCTTGTACAGGGCAGCAATTAATGCAGCCTAACTGAAGACAGTGTGAAATAGAAACATAATAATTGTATGTAACCGGGGCGCACTGTTTTTAAAGGTTGGTAGATCTACAACATCTCAGGTATTGTAGATGAACTTGGTATGTGGAGACCTTAACAACAGTAGTTCATATCATATCAAGCAATGTTAAAAATTAAACATTTTTACAGGGTCCTGGCACAGCATACTGGTTTGGACTGAAGTTGATTGAAATGTTAACTGGAAAGGAAAAATCTGATCAAGTTGAAAAAGGCATGATCATTACTGGCTATTAGTTGTCCTTGGAGACCATATTATTTAGCTGTTTATCCTTATCATTTTTGTATAACATGATTTTAACGGGGTTAAATTACCATACATGCATACTTACAAAGTTTAGATCAAGTTATCCTATATAACCTATACACCTAGAAATTTTAATAAGTATCTATCTTTGTCACTATCTCATTAGCAAGTATAAGATATAACATTTGTTGTAATTTTCAATAAATAATGCCCAGCATTTAATAATGAAATACTATATTATTTGATTTATAAAAAATGAACTTTTCAGTCTGTTTTAGTCCACTGCTGAACATAGGTATAGACGTGAGATGCAGCTACAGAATTTGACTTAAACAGCAGATCTCTAAATATATGCGGCGAGACTTCATTTAGACTTCGAGTCATATTGAGGGAGTATACATGGGAACCTAGGCTCAAAATTCTTCGTCATAGATATGTCTATCAGACAAAGCTATTTAAATATGTAGAAGGCTAGATTGAGAGATTCTATCGATAGCTTGCGAACTTATCTTGTCCACCTTAAGAATCGCAAAGCACCGGGAGAGGACTAAATCACAGCAGTGCTTAGTGATTTTGTCAATAACTTAGTACTTGGAGATCGACTAGGCTGAGGACATGACAATACAATAATAAACTACTGGATTAAACCACTGTCAGTTGCGTACCTGTAAAGAGAGGAACAGAATACCACATTAGTAACCTACAGTCATTAGTAATCAACAACCATACATATACACCATATAGATAAAAAAAATGGGTGCGTGTACTTACGTACGCACGTGCATTATTAAATAATTACTTACAATAAAATAATAAAAAGACTGGAAAAGGATATAAATAATAAAATTATGAAAGCGCCATCTACATTCTTTATTAGGAACTGTAACGGGCGAATGTGATTAAGAATATGCTATCATCTATAATAAGCGGTTCAGTCAGCCTCCAAGGTGTGACTTGTGTTGCAGTGATGCGCGCATCTTAAAATTCACTCTAATATTTTTTTTCATAGCGCGCCTAAAGAAGGAAAACTTCAAAAAAAATGGGTATAACAAAAATCTTACAATCTCAGCTTAAAGCCGTATATTGTTAATTTCCATAAACTTATTTAGAGTTTTTAAGGACGGGGCATAGTTAAGAGTTAACATACAACTAACCTAACATTCACAGCACGTGAGGTAGTGGGTGGATGGAAGTAGGTACTTTTGGTCCTATAAAACATAGTCATCATGGCAGAATAGTTGGAGAACCTTGGTATTATGCTCATTGTCTATGTTTGTCTTAAGGCTCAACACTTTGGGAAAGACGTTATTTATGTCTAATAATGTCCATGTCACACCTATACCAAAATCGAAATCAAAATCATTTATTCGTCGACATTTCCTTTATCGATAGTCATTTTTTTTAATCTACCACCGTTTCGTAACGAGGTTCCTCTAACGGAGAAGCAACATCCACATAGAAGTCAATCGTCGCATCCAAGTCCAAGGCAGCGTTTGGGAAATATGGGCATATCTTTTCGTCTAATATCTCTCAATGTTTAAAGACTAAAGAGCTTAATCAATGTGTACTGAGACTCGGTCCTTCACTGCTGGTCATATGAAGAAGCTCAAAATCTATGCTTTGTATTTGTCTGCACGGTGGAGAATGTAGACATTAACAGTAGAACAAAAGAAGTAACCGACATAGCTCAGAGGATTAGTAAGCTGAAGTGCCAATGGGCTGTCAATATAGCTCTAAGAATCCATAACCGTTGGTATAGAAAGGTCGAGTGGCAGCCTCGTATTGGCCATTATAGTGTTGTAACGTATGATTTCATCACTTTGTCGAAATTGTCGTTTTTCTAAAGACTAGGCTGCAAGTCATAAGAACCTTTGCCTTTTCGAGAGATCGAATCAAAAAGTTAACTTCATTTGGTCGTACTTGTCATTTGAGATTGCCGCCGGTTCGAATTGACATTGGATAAATTAGTTTTTGTGGATCCATTATCTTCGACTGTGCATAGCTAGAGGTTGAAATCAGAACACGTTCCTGGTCGTATTATTTGTGATTGCTGTCTGGGAAACTGTGCTGGATTTGTTATCCCTCGTGGTGGATGCTGAAGGCATAGGTGGCTGGCAAGCTGGTCTGAGCTGCTGCTCAATTAAATATTGTTTTTTACCTCCAGTTGGAGGTCTCCTACATACCCCCCAACAGTGTGGCTGTACACACTACACTTGGCCTGACTTTATCTACTGGTTCTGAGCTCAACGCTGACCTGTGCACACAGGGCTGGTGTCTGCGGTGACATAGATTTAAAATAACTACCTGATTGGACTTTGTTTTTTAAATTGAATTGCATAACTTTCATAATCTCAAATTAATTTAATTATTTAACCTTTTATGGTCGCACAAGGTAATGTGTAGGTCCTATGTACTCACGACTCCCTGAGATACTTAATTGTATTTATTACAACAGCTTGTTCCTAACAGACAAAGCGCCCAACTCATTATTATTGTTATATTTTGAAAATATATTGTATCTGAGCTAGTCCAGGGATTGTAACTTTAAACTGGAGGGATGAATACAACTTCTTAACTGCTAATAAATCTTTTATTAAATCTCCCCATCATTAACTACACCATCCCATATAGAAACGATACAGTGTAAGACGATACCCTACTAGATAAAGTTGCGACTTGTGTGTGCAGGAAGTCGATGGATGCAGGTGGCTCTATTTTCAACTATATTTTAATGAAATCATCATCATCATCATCATTATTTTTTGCCTGTTTGAGTCCACTGCTGAAAATAGACCTCCCCCATAGACTTACAAGAAGTACGATCCTGAGCCACATGCATCCATCGACTTCCCGCACATTTCCACAGGTCGTCACTTCATCTAGTGAGGGCTCGTCCTACACTGCGATGGCCAGTACGAGGCTGCCACTCGAGAACCTTTTTTCCCCAACGGTTAACGGTTCTACGAGCTAAGCATGGTGGCTCGTGGCTTAGAGTAGACTGAACTTGAATGTTATTATCCCGTGCTTGGTTCCATTCCGTTTTCTGAGACATTAAATGTAATTTTTTCTGTTTAATGCCATTATAGTATTATAAGGTTAGAGATTTTATGGCTCCCTATAGTGACGAGGAGATGAGATAAAACTACGCTATTATAATATTCAATATTTATTATTAAATGCATATGCACAAGATAGTGAGCGTTCGCTAACTACTCGCGTCGCGGTGAACTGTCTGTACTGCACTACACAGTGTAAGGGGCACAGGGCGTCAGACTATAATAGCAAATTACAATGTGTCGCCATAATATTTTTTACTAGTTAACATATTGCTTTTATTTGCAGTTAATGTTTTTCATTCATGAAAGCATTTCTTTGTCGCCACATTTATTGGTATGGCATCCCTAAAGAGAACAAAGTGCCATGCCCTCTCCATACGACGTGAGCGGGCAACTGTTTATGTAAACTTTCTGTCAAGTGAATCGTGTTTCAAAATATTCAAAGTCGTGTAAATTAACAATCCGTCGCGAGTTGCGATTCTTACTAAATTAGATTTCCTTACAGAAAACAGCGCTTTTAAGTGTTTATATTGAGCTAAGAAAACAATCGTTGTCCATATTTGCTTTCATATTAATTAAAACAAAAAAAAAAACGCAACAGGTTTATAACGCGATCCTCGTTGAACTGTTTTCTATTTAATTGGTACACGTAATTTGAAATTGAACGGTATTCAATAGTAAATATTTCGGCGATTTGTTAAGTTTCAGTTGAAAACATTCTGTGTTTTGTGAGTGTTCGGATAAGAACATCTGTGCCGCACGGTGCATGTTTTGGTTTGGTATTGAGTGAAAAGTGAAATTTGAGCAATTAAACATGTTCGATTCTCTAAAATAATGATATCGCACAAAAACAGAGTGCAAGCGATTAAAAGTAAATTCGAGAATTTGAATGTGGAGAACGACGTTCCATTACTTAGGAAAAAAACGGGCGTTAAGCAGCTGTGTATACAAAAAAGGTGAATCGGGTAATGGAAACATATACAAAGGAAACTTAACCGAGCGCAATGAAATATCATCTAAGGAAAAAAGGAACAGTGCTGATTCAGATTCTAGCGAAGATTTATCGCCTAAACCTAACCACAGCTATTTGTACAGTGAAGTAAACCGTACCACCAGCGATTCGAAGAAATTTCTAGCGCGTCAGGCCAGTGACCCTGGGAAGAAGCTTCATAGGAGTCATGCCTTTCGATGCGACAGGAGCCAAAAAATTAATGATAGCCCCAAACGACATGGCAGTTGCAATGGTCGGTCAGAGACTAGTGATTTTAGTCTAAAAATGGGTGAAAAGAAACTAAGCAAGGACAGGCTGAAACGTCTTGGCAATCTATTAGAAGACCAAATGCGAAAAGAGAATTTTAAAGTTGCCAGCACTAATCAAGTTCAAGTTGGAGAATTCCAAAAACTACGAGCTCCATGTGACTCAATACCAGATTCTCAGGTACCAAAACATATCCTTGATCAGTATGCTAAGGTTGTGAAGAAGAAAGATGCAGAGAACAAGCAGGACGCAATGACGGACAGTGGTGTAAGTTCAGAAACAGAAAATTTGGAAGAGGAAAAGTGTAGTAAAATTAAAAAACTGGTATTGCAATATGAGAAACCTGATATATCTCCAGCTGTACAGGTGGTAAAATCAGATAACAAAGAGGCAGTAGAGTTACAAAGTGATATAAATGATAATACTAATTTAGAATCTATGGACAGTTTGTGTGCCTCGAGTGAAACAATGCGGCTTGAGCGTAAGAACCCTCACTTGGTTTTAACAGACACCCTTAAGAAGGCTTTAAAGCAACCTCTGCCCTCTGGCCCCCCACCTAAAAAGCCGCCACGCGTATTTGCCGCACCACTACAGGAATCTAAATTAACACCAACACCTGAAACACCAGAGAAAAAAAGAAAAGATACTAAGAAAATGCTTGAAAAACTGGAAAAAGTTTTACAAAAGAGAGAAGCTCAGAATCTGACAAACAAACATATTTATGATGTTGTAGAAGCAGACTTAAGTAAAAAGAAGCCTAAAGAAATACACTATCTATGTACGGAAGTCCTAGATATTGCTCAGAGGACATTGCTGCCTAACCAAAATGTCTTTGACCCAATAGCAAACTGCTTGACGTCATTAAATTGTGCCATAGTAACGAATAATTCAACGTTAAGTTTACCATACACAAGATTGAGTACAGGACCAAACTGTAATAGGGATTCTACTCATATGTGTTCAGGGAACAATAACTGTGTCGAGTGTAGACCTAGACTGAGCACATTCTGGGACGGTAAGCCCCATAACAGCCCTTGTCTCAAGTGTCAATCGAATGAAGGCTTTAAGTGTTATTTGAGTTGCAAATGTAAAGAGGGCGAGATAAATGGAAACCAAGACAGGTTCAAAAGCTATATTGACTCGAAACATAAATCAGATCAAGAAGATGAGGAACCCATCTACGATGAGCCCTTTACCGGAGATAGTGATGTCCTGCCAAAATCAAACTTAAAAGAGAAATATAATGAATATGGTTCCCTTAGCAGTTGGAAAGTTAAAGAGAGCTTCAGTAAGAGTTTGGAGGACCTGAGGGTTGCGGATAAACATTTGGTAAGTTTTCATTTCACATTTTGTTACAACTTATAATGCTGTTAACTATGTCTTGAAGGAATAGAGTTTCAACTTGTTTTGTTTCTGAATTTCTGATTAGGCATCTATCTTCTAAGGGTGGTACAGAATATTGATAGCACAATTAAATAGAGGCTAAGTACCTACAAATAAAATAATCCTATTTTTTTTATTTTAAGAACAATAATAATATTATATACATATATATTATTCTTAGTGTATATATATATATATATATATATATATATACACTAAGAATAATCTTAAATTAAATAATAAGTAAATTTATAAAACAGAAAATAATCTTACCATATATATAAGTAAGGTAGATTAGGTTATGAAATATTGATACTGGGTTGATTTTTAATTTAAACTATCAGTGCCTGCAACAGACAGTAATGCTTTTTTTGTTGCAATTGCTAATTTCTATAGTTTAATTCTGGGCCTTAATTATTAAAGAACAATCACCTGTAAGTAAAATGATGATATGATATGCTGGGAAGTATTATAAAGAATCCCTTCTAAATGCAAATATTTGGGCAAGATGTCAGCTGCTATTATGAAGCCCTACACCTTGTTCAATATATTTAATCTCTGACATTAGTGTTTCACACCAGACTGATTCCAAACCAGTCATCTTTATACATTTTGTCATATACAATACAAATCATATTAAATAGTATATACTTTTTGTAGCTTCCCTTTAATAAATAATGTTGAGAAGAATTAAAATTAGTTTATGGTGTTTACTTAATAATCAATATCTTTCGTACATCCATATGAATAATCTGAACGGACAAAATTCGTTTCGTTTCTTATTTGTATAAATGTAGTGGGGAATGTCTAAAACCAATCGAGCCATTTTTCAATTAATGAAAACCACATTGTCATTGAGAATCACTCAGCTGCATCTTCTACCCCATTTATCACGGGGAGTGTTCCGAGGAATTGTTTGGATTGATCCCGGCAGCTGAATTTCACCATCAGAAATCGCGCAAAAACCAAAAAAATTCATTCAGACCACCTCGATGTACAGCGTTCCACAACAGTGCGATTTTCAAGGCGTTTCCTGCCTCGCACAATTCCTCTGTGGTACCAGCTGCCGCCGGCGGTCTTTCCGAACTGTGACGACCCGGGAACCTTCAAGAAGAGAGCATACTCTTTCCTAAAAGGCCGGCAACGCATTTGTAAGCCCTTTTTGCAGGTGTTCATGGGCGGCGGTAATCACTTACCGTAAGGAGCGGGAGGCTCAAACGAGCAGGAGGCTCGCCTAATTATTTCGTATACAAGAAGTATAAGAAATAATTACCTACTAAAAATAGTAATTAACTATTAATTATTTTTTAACTATTAATAATAGTTCCCGCCGCCATCCCTGTTATGTTTAAGTGACCGTTGTGTTTAATAAAACAATATGTAAACACGGTCGGAGTTCGTGAGATATCAAAGGTGCACAGGGAGAGTTGGTATGCAACGCGAACTGTTGTGTTGTGTGTATCGATAGGCGCTGTTCTCTTTGCATATTTCCACTGGAACAATGGCGGGAAGTTTACGATCTGCGATCGGATGAAAACCCTTTGGGCTCGATTCACACCGAGACGATACCGGCAGGTGATGGAGAACATTTTTAATATTAACACATCAAGACGCTATCGTCTAGAGAATACTCTTAATTGACTATCGAAAAACAGTTTCTAACAGCCGTTATAGTTCAGTGCCCGGCGGTCGCTTTTAATTCAATATACCCGAGCAACCCGAGTTCAAGTCTCGGTGCTGGTATCAATGAAATTGTTATTTTAAGTGCTGGTTTATCACTTGCTCAGCGTTGAAGGTAAACATCGTTAGGAAACCTGCATATTTTCGAAATAATAAAAAATAATTAGAATATATGTGTAGTCCGCAAGTCCGCTATGTGGGGGTCGCGTGGTGAACTATGCCATAACCTTGTCCAACAGTGGGACATAATATTCAGAAAAGTTCAAGAGAAAACATTGTTAGGAAATTTGCATGTTTTCGAAATAATAACTTAAAAACAATATTTTGCGAAGTCTGGCAACCCGCAGTGGGGTCTAATACTCTCCGTACAGAGGAGGCATTTGCCCAGATGTGTGACATAAATATATGTGCTGTTATTTTCGTTTATAATTATTTTCTACGGCTGGCTATAGACCACATTGTAAGAAACTCCAATTCGCGTTCACCAAGATCATCTTCTGCGGTGCCGTAGCAAAACTGCTGGGAAAACGACAGCAAAAATGTATTAATACTATCTTTAAATATTTCGATATATCCAATGGGATTGCAAAAATTTGGGTTATAGCAACATTGGACATGTGCTATGTTGTATTAACACTATCTTTAAACATTTAGATATATCCAATGGGATTGCAAAAAATTGGGTTATAGCAACAATGGGCATGTAAAAATCCCAACTTTTGCTATTCTATCGACGTAAAGAAATATAAACAACGCAAGCTGCTATTTTTGTATGTTGTGTATGTGCCCCTAATGATCGTACTACTACTACGCAGTAAACGCGTTCACTTACGATGCTCTAAAGCGATTTATCCGAACTAACAAGTTAAGGTCTAAATGACGATTCAGACGAGGTTTGTTTCCCACGCGACGAAGCGAGACGCCCCCCTCGACCTCATGAACGCATGATTCGAGCGAGGAACCCATTTAATTCCATTTATAAAGACCTTATTCATATTTAAGAGTGTGGTGTTTATAGGAGGATCTCTTGCCGTCACTGTAATGCCGAAATCCGCCGATTATGTACGTATTTGCGAAGATTTAGCGGTGTGTTATTTTCGCTTATCCTTGCAATTTATTTTGATATTACCTTTTTCTTATTATGATTCGGTAGCGCAGTTGCTAACTATTGGCTTGTACGCCGGGGGCCGTGGATTCGATTGTAAGGGACAAATAGGACAATAAGGATCTGGGTGTTTTTTCCCAAGTGGGGTTGACGTCAGGCAGGCGGCAGTATAATATAATAAGCAATAAAAAATTATTAACGACTTCAAATATTTCGCTCCGTATTCATTTTATAATTGGTTTTTAGGAGTTCTCTAAGTAGCTCCGGAGCTCAAGGTCCAATACAAAAATTAATATGGGACCACATGGGAAGAACCATCTTTCAAATAAGAAAAGAATCATCAAAATCGGTTGAGTGGGCCGAAAATCGGTTGGGTGGTCGAAAGTTCTGAGATAACAAACATAAAAAAAATATAGTCGAATTGAGAAACTCCTCCTTTTGAAGTCGGTTAAAAACAACAATACTCTCACATTTTCTTACTTGAAAACGTGACAGGTTCCACGTTTCTGTAAAGGGGGTAATTTTAATCTCATACGATACATATATGTTTACCTACTGTACTGCTGGAACATTCAGCGCGCCTTCCTACTCAGCCCCTTTAATTAAGCACCCCTACCACAGGACTATCTTATCGTACATTTGGGTTAATGTTTGTTAAAAGAGGTTGAAAATAGATATTTCACCATTAAGAAAGTCGCCGTTAGCACCTGTTTCGTCTTCCGTCGTAAGAAATATTGCAGTCCACTTTTATTTGTATGCTTGTTTGCCGTGTTTATGCTTGTTTGGCTTACTGCCGTGTGAATAACGTTTATTTCGATTTAAAAAATATTTCATATCGTTTAATATTACTCTTAACACCGACTTCTGTAGTGCCGTTCGCGGAGTGTGTAAATGTTTTGTTTTAATTTTATTAAACTACTAGCGGACCCGACAGACGTTGTCCTAAAACAATTTATAATTTAAATTTTTTTAAAAAATGTGGTGGACCGAATGTGAATCTAAACCATTCTCGAATCGACCTGAAGACACACAAAAAATTTCATTAAAATTGGCCCAGCCGCTTAGGAGGAGTTCAGTGACTACACACGTACAGAAGAATTATATATATAAAGATAAACATTAGCATTATGTTTAAATACATTTGCGCAGCGTTAGCTATAGAGAATATGATAACAAACACAACATAAGTAAAAATAGTGAAATAAACAAATAAACTTAAATAAACAGGAAATTGTCGTTAACACGAAGTTAAATTGAATTATTTGCAAAACAATGAACATGCTGTAAACAATAGTTTGATTTTAAAATAAGATGATAATATGGACCGTAATTTAGCCAGTGGGTGTAGTGCATACTGCATACCTCAGGTTCTTTAATATTTTCTCACCGCCCAATATTTTTTTTGGTTTTTTATGTTTTTAACCGACTTTAAAAAAGGAGTAGGTTTCTCAATTCGATCGTATAGATATATATATATTATTTTTATGTGTGTTCGCGGATAACTTCGTTGTTTATGATCCGATTTTGATCATTCTTTTTTTTTGTTGGAAAGAAGATATCCCAAGAGTGGTACCATAATTAGGAAACCCGTATCTGATGACGGCATCCCAGAGAAATCGAGGGCCATCATTAACTGTTTGTTTTTGTAAAAATGTTTTTTTCTAATTCTCTGATTGAAGTCGGTTTATTTTTGTTAAAAATTTCACTTGGCAAGCGAGCTGGCTGTGCACCTGATGGTAAGTGATTACCGCCATTCATGGACATTTGCAACACATTCGTGCAACAGCGAAGATGTTGCGTGGACCAGTTTACAGCATCCATATGGTTGTTGTACCGTTCTACTGAAATATGTATCAGTAATAAAAACCTCTAAACGAAGCCTCAGCCAAAAGATAACAAGCTGACATTCAATATACTATCTGTTAATGGCTCTTTGCCCGTGCGGTCAAAGTATTAGACAGGTCATTAAGGATGAGTATACACCAGAATTAGTTTGCAGATGCAAAATTTCTTACTTACTTGAAACTTATCGTTATATTTTGGACAAGTCACACAATTTCTATACGTATAAATAAGCTATATTATTGTAAAGTTTCATTGAAATCTATTTAGTAGTTTTTGCGCGAAAGAGTAACAAACATCCATACATTCAAACTTCCGC